TATGTGTGGCCAGAATACCCATTTACTTTGTCCCTATTCTTGGAATATAAAAATAGAAAGAAAAATGTTATCAAATGACATTGGGCTGTTGTCAAGAAAAGCCAATAAAAATGATTACTCTAGCAATATGAAAGTGCTCCATGAAAGCTTAATAATCAACAGTATTTAAGAGGTATACCACTGAGTATCTGACAGGGTGCCATGTTTTATAAACAGCATTTATGGACTTCCACAACCAAAATTTTCATTCTTTGTGAGCTGTGTATAAATTCAGGAAGTGGTTGAAACCACATTTCAAATCAACACTGCTCATGAGGCACCCTGCCAAATAAGTGTAAATATCCTTGGAAAGTCTCACATCTGACACACAGCTTGGTAGAAGTGGACCTATCTTTTGGAAAGCTGAAAAATAGATGGTTACCTTGGACCTTAGGGAAACTATTGTTCTGGAAAACATAAATAATTTTTAATCCAGAAATATGCACTGGGTATTTCATTTACTTACAAATAATTATCATTCTAGAAATTATAAATTTTGCTTCTATTCTCTTTGTTAATCATTTGAGTATCAGGACACACATTCTATAAAACATTTTTATAGTAAGTAGTAGACTGCATCTTGGCCCCTGAAGCACTGCTTCATTCATATTTTGTCCAAAGTGCATTGGTAGAGAGAATACCCCATACCAATTGCAGAATTTAACTGATATTATAAATATGATTGTTTTCAATGTCATTCCCTGAATTTCATACTACCTCTACTACCAAGTAAGAATTCATTAAGGTCAAAAGACCATATCTTGTTTTTGTTTTGTTTTGGTTTGGTTTTTCTGAGACAGGGTCTCACTCCGTCACCCAGGTTGGAGTGCAGTGGCACACAATCATGGCTCACTGCAGCCTTGATCTCCTGGGCTCTGGTGATCTTCCTACCTTAGCCTCCAGAGTAGCTTGGACCACACCACCACACTCTGCTAATTTTTTCTATCATCTGTAGAGATGGGGTCTCCTTCTGTTGCCCAGGCTGGTCTCAAACTCCTGGACTCAAGTCCTCCTGCCTCGGTCTCCCAAAGTGCTAGGATTACAGGCATGAGTCACCGCATGAGGCCAAAGGATCATATCTTACTCATCTTGGTGACTCGAATACCTAGCACAGAAGAAAGTTAATAGAAAGAGAAGGGAAAAAGAAAGGAAGAATAGAATAAAAGGAGAGAGAATAGGAAGGAAGGAGGGAGGAAGGAAGGATAAAAAAGAGGAGGAAGAGAGGTAGGGAGACACTAAGTTAATTTTTCTATTCAGGGAATGGCAAAAGGAAATTCCTCCCTCTTTTCTTGATCATTACTGATGGCATCAATTTGCAAGATGTACTGAGACCATGAAAATACAATGCATGCCGGGCGCGGTGGCTCAAGCCTGTAATCCCAGCACTTTGGGAGGCCGAGACGGGCGGATCACGAGGTCAGGAGATTGAGACCATCCTGGCTAACCCGGTGAAACCCCGTCTATACGAAAAAAATAAAAAATAAATAAATAAAAAATAAAAAAACTAGCCGGGCGAGGTGGCGGGCGCCTGTAGTCCCAGCTACTCGGGAGGCTGAGGCAGGAGAACGGTGTAAACTCGGCAGGCGGAACTTGCAGTGAGCTGAGATCTGGCCACTGCACTCCAGCCTGGGCGACAGAGCGACACTCCGTCTCAAAAAAAAAAAAAAAAAGAAAATACAATGCAGCCAAGATCAACATACAGAACATCTGAAGTCACTCAGAACTCCACTTCCAACTAGCATCAGTCAAGGACGCTGTGGCAGTCACCCAATCAATATCACTGATTGATAGCCTTCTGGATAGGTTACCTTGGTAGTACCACATCACTGAATATGACCACAGTAGAGTCCTCTGTTGGGGAAAATCAATAGGCTACCATGGAGAAGAGGAGACATAACAGAGAATTCCTTCACTGAGAGCCAGTGAGCACAGTGACATGGCTCGGCAGGAGACCCCAAGGACATAATCATTAAAGGGGGCTTGAAAGTTCTCTACTCATGACTGAATGGGGCAGTGTCCCACAGATGTTTTAAATCCTCCTCTCCCTCTGAAGGAATCATTATCAGAGGTGCACTGAAATGTTTTGGTTCAAGGCACATAAAGAGCCGGGCAGGCAGAGTGGCAAAGTAGGGCGAGGGGGACATACTTGGAGAATTTAAAACAATGACAATAATCAACCAACTTCAAAGATCAAAATACAAATGACATCCCCCCCATAACAAACAGGTTGGTAGTAAGTAGTAAAAGAAGTAAACTAAATAACATTTGTAATTCCTGCAACGTTTCCATAGGTATTAAAGTAATAACCATATCTGATCTAAAATGTTTAAGCCTGATACTGACAGAAATTATTTTCTTGAATTCTCTCTTTGTACCTATTTTGCCCCTTACCCTATTGCACCCTCTTAGACTGTCTGTCCATGCCCCTCCAGGCAGCTGTAGAATCCTAAAGTAACCCATGGTAGCCACACATTTCCAAACAGTACAGCCCAGTGGAAAATGCTGCTACTTTAACCCAGGTTAAAATGAAATACAGTGGAAGAAAGAGGAAATGCAGTACAGGGCACCTGGGAATTTGGACCTGATATGATGTGATAGATATCCTTGTCACCTCTACCTTCTGTGATCCCATGAGATTCATCACAGCGGGGTAATTTGTGCTTGTCACATAGAGCAGGCAAGGCTAACAGATACCTCAATCCAGAAAGAAATGACAGGCAGCATTTCTGAACCTAACCAAGAGGACAATACCTACCCACCTCTAAGAAACAATGAAAATTGCCCTTTGTGATTACCTTCAAGTTGAACTTCACCTATTTTTTCAATCACCTTTGAATGCACACGATAAAGTCTGATTAATTAAGATATTTTTCAGTCAGAATCTGTAACATTTAGGGCAGAGAAGAGTGCTGTTTGCTTTCACTGGCCAGACACATTTTTAATCAAATAAATGAACAGAATAAGCAAATATGCAAGAGAAATACATAAATGAGTGAACAAATTATTATCTATAATTTAAATTTCATCAATTTATATTCACTATTTGACATTTGTTGACAACTTACTACATAAAATATTTCATTAATTCATTTGGAGTTATCATAACCTGAAAAATAATGAAACCTAATTTCTTTTAAAATACATATTAGACTTCTTACTGATTCAAGAAATCCTTCTATCAACCCAAATCATAAGCATATACCTAAAATCACATCATGTCTCTGTTTCTCACAACTTTAGAAATCCCAGTTAAAAAATATGGCCTGTGCCATGTCAGATCTGTTCTGTATTTAAAAGCATGATTAATTTCTAAGATTTATGAAAATGATACATTACGTAACTTGTCTATATGCAAAGTGATTTACAGACATTATATCTGAGGCTCAAAGCTTCAATCTAAAGAAAAGTAGTTAAATTTTGCTTTGCTGAGTAAATTAAAACTCACACCCCACTTTTTATCACATGCCTTACCTTTTCCAGGGAAAAATTCCCATCTTCTAAACCTCGATGTCTGGCCCCTGGGACAGTTGTGTGGTTAGAATAAAGATTCAAAATGAAAAGAGGCATATGATTTATCCAGAGCTGGAATATGCTAATAACAACGTTAATTAATATGATCTGGCATCTTATTCACAGAAATTTAGGGATAAGATGAAAGAAGTGTAGACCTAAAAATATCTAGGATGCCACCTACCATATTGTCGTATCTGATTTTGGAGAAATGTGTATCAAAGTAAATGTCCAGTCATTACTTTCTCAATCTGATGGTCACATATCAAAACATTTCTCAGACCATTCCCACGGAATGGTTTTTCTCCCAAGGGGCACACTGTGGTTCAGTCCGTATTTGGACTGTTGGATGACAAACATCATTGGTTAAACCGAGGCACTTCCAAAGGAGTAAACCCAATCTTTTAAATGGACACAGAAGAAACTTTATCTTTGAGGATCTTTGGGGCTGGAAAGTATTTATGGGTCATATTAGACTAGAGAAAGATCATAGAAACTGTTGGCCTCCTTTACCACTGTGGATGTGTTGGGGGTGAGGGAAGGATCTAGTCTCCAGGGACAAAGCTCTGTTGAATTTATCTTGCTCTGGGAATATTCTATTCCAATTCTGCACAATTGAGCAGTAATAGTGAAAACACTCCAACTTTCAAGTTACAGTTCCAAACTGAAGAGAATCCAGTACCTTTTTGTAATCATAGGAACCCTCAATTATTTATGCATATTGTAGAAAGTTGTGTCTTCAATAATAAAATGATTATTTATGTTTGACTTCACAACATAGTCTGTATTTGGGGTTTTTCTTTTGTTTTTGGCAACATCGACAGACTTATTTTCCCAATTATGTTTGACCCCAATTAATGTTACAATTAACATTCTCTCAGCATACCCACATATACACACTACTCACCAACTGATGGTGGAGAGCATGCCCAGAAACATAATGTGAGATAGGGAAGGGTGGTCTGAGATTATACTTTTGCTGCCAGCAATTCACACACTAGATAATCTGGATCAAGAAGAGGATGGCTGTATTTATACCAGGCATTTTCCGGAGCCAAATAATCACATTAGCTAATTCCCATCCATAAAATATATGTAGCCTCAGTAATTACTTATTAAACTAAGTCTATCAGCACACAGAATACTTTTTTTAAAGCAGATTTATCTAGTTTGACTGCATATGTCTATCCAATTAAGATAATTGCCAGATCCTTCTAGTACTGGCTGCTACATAGACCTGCCTGAGTCCTCTCTCAGGCATGGAGATATTTGGGAATGTAACCTTAGCTCTTAGTCCTGCCACTTTGGGAAATTAAGCACAGCTTCCCTTGATTTCTGGAAAACACCTTCTAGACTTTTTCCTCTCCCTCGATGACCCAGGTGGCCTGGCCTTCCGAATAGCAACTCCCCTCCCCATCCACCCATTGCATCTGACCCTCGCGGTTGCTCACCTACGTTCTCTTCGGCTTGGCTGCTCTCCCCAGTCTCCGTTGGAGGCTGGGCTGTTGCCTTGGCAGCAGCATCTTCTGCAGCAGGGGTGGTGGCAGCAGCAGCAGTGACAGCAGCAGGCACATCGGCTTGTTTAGGCTCCTCCTTGGCTGGGGCATCTTCGGCCTTGGAGGACGGCGAGTTATCAGTGGAAGCTTTAGTGGCACTTTCTGTCTCAGCTGAGCCGGCCTTCTCCTCTGAGGATGCAGGAGCCTGAGGGGCTGCCTGCTCTGTGGCAGCATCACCCTCTCCCTTCTTCTCCTCAGAAGGAGTTTCTCCTGCTTTGCCGGGTTCATCAGGCTTGGAGCCAGTGGCTGGGGCTGCTTCGGTAGCAGTGGTGCCTTCTCCCTTCTTCTCCACCCCATCGGCAACAGGGGCTTCATCCTTCTTATTGGCTTCAGCCTCAGCAGCTTGAGCATCATCCTTCTTCTCTCCTTTGAGCTTTTTCCTCGTTATGTGTCCACGGAAGCTAGCCTGAATTTTGGTCGCGGCCTTATGAGCTTTATCTTCTGGTTTGATACCATCTTGTTCAATCTTTTGGTCCTCATCATTTTTTTCAACCTTTGTGGAGAAAAGAGGGGAAAAAAAGGAGAGGGCTCCAGTGATGTTCTTCTCCTTTAAATCTCAGCATTCAACAAATATTTATTAAGTGATTTATGTTGTGCCTGGCACTGTTTGTGGAGTTAAGAATTCAACAGTACTCTGGAAGTTCAAGTCAAGCCTCATCTTTCTCCCACAGTATTGTATGGGAAAAGTAATGTCCTTTGAACCTTTCAGAATCACCGGCAACTTTTTTTTTTTTTTTTTTTTTTGAGATAGAGTCTCAGTCTGTCACCCAGGCTGGAGTGCAATGGCATGATCTTGGCTCACCACAACCTCCACCTCCCAGATTCAAGCAATCATCCTGCCTCGACCTCCCAAATAGCTGGGATTACAGGAATGTGCCACCACACCCGACTAAGTTTTGTATTTCGTAGAGACAGGGTTTCACCATGTTGGCCAAGCTGGTCTCAAACTCCTGACCTCAGGTGATCCACCCACCTCTGCCTCCCAAAGTGCTAGAATTACAGGTGTGAGCCACCGCATCCGGCCACTGGCATTATTGTCTACGTATTTCCTTTCCCCAGCTCAATGTTGCTCCACGTCAAACTTAAACCAGCCTTTTTTTTTAGATGTACTTTGACAACTCAAATCACATTTACAGGCTGGGTACAGTGGTTCATACTTGTAATCCAAGCACCTTGAGAAGTGAAGGCAGGAGGAACTTGAGCCAAGGAGTTCGAGACCATCCCTGGCAACATAGTGAGACCCCATCTCTACAGAGCTGGGTGTGGTGGCATGCACCAGTGGTCCTGGCTACTCAGGAGGCTGAGGCAGGAGGCTCACTTGAGCCTGCAAGGTAGAGGCTGCGTGAGCTGTTGTTGTGTCACTGCACTTCAGCCTTGGTAACAGAGTAAGACCTTGTCTCAAAAAGCAAACAAACAAGAAACAAAAACAAAACATGAATCACATTCACCCCAGGTTTATATCAAAGAGCTCTGAAAGATACAGGGTTTTCAGGGTTTTTGAGAAGGACTTTGTATAAAACTTTATGGTTTAAAAAAATAGTATGCAAAAGTCTACTTTCCCCCCAAGTTTTAAGCCTGATAAGGAAATTAATAAATTCAAGACAAAGAGTATAGTAAAAGTTTAAACCATAAATCCCATCAGGATTTTATGCAAAATGTAAATGAGTTCCAGGTCTTTAAGGGATTTGTTCAGAATGTGACAGCTTACAATGCTGGTCACAAAATAATATCTAACTTTCTCTTGCATGTGGTCCAATATTAATAATAAACATACCAAACCTTCAAAATCTGAATAAAAAAAGACCATTATTCCTGAATTTTAAAAAATGATGGGAAACACTGTTTCTCCTTTTGAAAAAGCAACATATATTCACTAAGTCACAATTCCTTATTCCCAAAGCAATTGGGAACCTAAAATGTGTTCATATTATCATCAACAGAGCCATCTTAGTACTAAAGACAAGAGACTAGCATATAGAATTTTACCTTTTGATGGCAACATTTGTAGCTTAATATATGCTGCAAATGACTATTTTCCACATGAAAATTAAATCAGAGGATAGGAACAGCAGGTATGGTCATAGAAAGAATTGTGTAGGCAAGTACACAAAATTCTATCCAGTTCCATTGTTTACCATGGTGCCCCAACATGCCTACTGATAGTCTCCAGTCTTAAATTTCTTTAACTTTCGAGCATTGAACTTTTGTTCACTTTTGTGAACACTGTTCTAGCAGAAATAACAGCAAAGAACGGCACAGCAACTTTCCCTCAAAAGACCACTAATAAGAGAGTGTTTATCATGTAACATGTTCAGAGCCTGTTCTCAATCTTGGATTGGCCTTGACCTTTGCTCCAGTTTAGGAGGTAAGCTAATACAGAACAACTCAGGACAAGTTTTCCATCTGTCAAACCAGCTCTGCCCCACTGACCCAGCTCCTGCTAATCATGATGTGGGACTGTTAGACATTCTTTGGACAAGCATACAAATCTGTTGCTGCATAGGACCATCAACATACCAGTGGATACACAAAAGTATTTTTGAAAATGAGCTACATGTAAGAGTAAAAGCAGGTTTGATAATTTTCTCAGTCAAATTCAAGTCAACTTTTCCTTCTTCCTTAGCTAACCATGCATGTATACACACGAAGATTAAAGGAGTAAGTGAAAAGCACTTTGGACAGGCCCGTCCTGCTCCCTCCTCCACTACTCAGTTCTCTGATGTACTATCACCTTCTCACTACCCTGCTGCTCTTGATGACTCCTACTGGGATGAGCACAGCCCAATCTGAGACACGGGAGCAGCTGTCCCTGCCAGGAGCTCTCTGCTCAGAGATGGAAGCATAACCCTGTAAAATTAACAGTTGTGAATGGAGCATGGAGCCAAGATGTTGATAATTTATTTTACTCTATCTTGAGTTTTCTGAATGAAGCACCATCTTATATGTTAGGACACCTGCACTTGGGTATTGACGCCAACTGGTTCTTTAATACAAATACTGTTCTTTGTGAAAGTAGACAAGTCAATTGTTTCAGAAGGGGCAGGCGTCCACAAAAGGCTCCCTAGTGACTCAAGAAAGCTAAAATTTTAGAGCTCTGTCTTTTCTTTATGAACATAAGGCACAGGGGGATGAAACTCTTGAAAATCTGGAAAACACAAAGAGAAGGAAGCTGAGAGTCTACATGATATAAAGAAAGAAACTACATGGATAAAGAAAGGGCTCTCAATTTTCTCTCTCCCTCCTCTTTCTCTCTCTCTCTCAATTTTTTAAAGCATCTGCAACTCTGATTTTCAAAAAAATCAGAATTTAAGCTTCTGAACACAGAATCTATGACTAGGGTGACAAGATTGTGAGACAAACCTCACCTAAACAACCCAGAAGTATAAGAAATTCAAGGGAAGCAGGAGTGAGCAGAAAGGGGGAGAATCATGAAAAACAAGAGTTAGGAGAGAGAGGGGAAGACAGTCTTATAACAGCCAGGTACCCAAATAAGTGACTATCCCCAAAAAGATGCGCAAAGTACTCCACAGGCAGGTAGCTCATCCTGGAGAAACTGCTGGACTTCGTCATTAGAGATTTAGGAAAACTAAATTTTACAGATTAGTTGGGGGGAAAAAAAGACAATTAATAGAAGTTTTTCCAGATAGCAGTAAAGAAACAGACACAGGGAAAGGAAAGGAAAGGCAGGAGAGAGGAAGAAAGGGAAGCGGGGAGGAGATGAAGAAATGAAAGAAGAGGGGGGAGGAAAGGGAAGGAAAGAAACCAGGCTAAGAAGAGGGCAGACTTCAGTGACGGAACAGAGACATCCATAAATAAAAATACTTTAAGTTAAAACTGGGTTCAAAGCTAGACAGCACTGGATTGTGTTTGTGTGTCTTTCTTTTGTATTTCTAACTGATTCTATTAATACTCCTTAAATTACAGGTTATTTCCTGGTAAAATTCTTTTCACAGTACAGTATAAAGGAAAGTGGACTGGGAGCGTATTTTATTGTGTATTTTGTTAAGGAGGAAAAGAACATTTCCCAAAACTGGCTATGTGGAGTAGCCCCAGGTTCTGAGAACACTTTGACCCTTTCCCCACTAGAAATAGAAGAGCTTACTTAAGATGAAGGACATTCAAGCCCAGAGAAACCACAGACTACTGAGCACATTCAGCACAATACTTTCACTTTCCAAAAGGGGCAGCCCTGGCTCTGAAAAGTTAGGTGACTTGCCTAAATTCACAGAGCAAGTGAGGGAGGCAGTGGCCCAGCTTGTATTCGACCTCAACTCTTCTCCCCTCCCACCTACCTCCAAGTCCAATTTTATTGCATGACTGACCTGGAATAGCTTGGACTTACTTGTAGTAGATAATCCATAAGGCTTCACGTCAGCATTTTCATTCATTTATTCATTTAAAAATATTCAGTGCCTCTGTGAAGCACTAGACAAATGCTACTGAATGGAAGGATACTGTGTCTACCCATATAGAATCCTTTTGAAAATACACTTAAACCACACCATAGTACTTTAACAATCAGTTACTTCCCAGGAATTTGCAGTAGACACCTGATCTTACACTCATCTTTTCAAGTGAGGATAACACTCTAAAACTGTGAGTTACAGATGAAATGTACAGAAAAAGAATCCTGGTATCTAAATGGCTAAAAAGTCAGCTCATAAAAGTCACTAAAGATAGATTTATTTTTTAAACTAAGCCTTACCACAAATAAGCTTTGTAATGAACTCAAATGTTTCTGAGGGAATTTCAAAGTTATTTCATTTTTACACAGAATTGTTGATATCTACGAATTAAGTAAAGAGGACATTCCAATGCAGTACATTAGAGGTAGGAAGGGTGTCATGAGCTGCCGTAAGTTTTTCAGGAATCTTTATTGTTATGGCTTAATAGTTCTTTGATTTGTTTGAGGGCTCTGCAATTTATGATGTCTTAAAGGAAACCAAGGTATAGAACATCCCTACTTTTTAAACAAACATTAAAATCTCAGATGAATATTGGTTGGAAAATGAAGAGTACCATTATACTAACTTGTTGACACTAATGAAATTTCTAAATCCATTAGACGAATAAACAATAATTTTAACTGATATTTAAAAATTACAGATAAGCAAGCCAGAAATAAGAAGTAATTACTTAAATATCCAACATTGTTGCTCTGGTCTTCTTTTCCTTTGGGGAAAGGAGGAATGGACAACTTAAGATTTATTCTAAAATGTCCAAATGTTTGCATTCAACATGTTACAAAAGAGCTCTAGGCAAAAATCCATGAATGGCTAACTTTCAGAACTAAAAATAACATCATCCATTCATCTGGGATACCTCAATGCATTTCACTTTTCCCCATTATCATAGGAATGCCTCAACCTTCCAAGCAAATTAAAACTTGGCCCTGTATATACTTCTGCTAGCTATAAATAGTACTATTATAATACTTAAATTTTTAAAAAACAGGATTGAATTTTAAATGTATTACAAATCATTGATGTACAC